AGAGTGAATGAGAGAGAGAGTGAATAAATGAGAGAGAGAGAGAGAGAGAGAGTGTGTGTGTGTGTGTGTGTGTGTGTGTGTGTGTGAGAGAGAGAGAGAGAGAGAGATGTAATCTTTTTCAAGGCACACCCCGCCTCCTCGCCTTTGAAAACTTAGGCATGGCAGTGCTCCAGTGGCAGCTGTCGCCACATCGTCGCTCGTTCAGTGAACGAGTAAGCTGTCTGCCACAGTGCATGTAACTTAATCAGCCCAAAACTCACAGGGTCGTGTGCTACTACTGTTCAAGTCACGCATAAACTCAACGTTAAATAGCGGCTGCTTCGAATTTAAAAACCTAGTGTTTGGTGGGCTTGGTGAAATAGGGGTGGGGTGATTGCATGAGGTGGTTGGGTGAGGTGGGGTTGGGATTGGGGGTGGGGAGAGGCAGTCATATGTATGCGTTTAACTTATTATCATATTATTATTTGTTGTGTGTGTTTTAGTATTCGGTGACAGGTGAAGGATCAAATATCTTTTTGGAATTAGTTTATGTGACTGGACGGGTTTCTTTCTGTCCATAAACGTGTTTGCTATGTTGATTCACTCCCTCTGGTTTGACTATAGATGAAGGCACGGAGAGAATTTGACGAGACCTTATTCAAAGACTCCAAAACTGTCCAGTTAAAAGTAAGTTGTTTTTTGTGCTGTTGTTTGTTGATTTTTTGTTTTGTTTTTTACAGTCGTTTCCTTTTCTTTTCTTTTTGTTGCTTGCCTTTCTTGGACATCTTCTGGGATTCTGAATAGATCATCATAATAATAATAATAGATAGCATTTGTATAGCGCATATCCCCGCTCAGCAGCAGGCTCTATGCGCTTTACACTATATTATTACCCCAGCAGACCATAGAACACTCCGAAACATTCTCAGCTTCCCGGGAAGCATACATATTTTGATCTATCTATCTATCTATCTATCAAAACATACATACTTGCATGTTATATACCCTACCCCACAGAGACAAAGATTATAATATACCGGTTGTCTTTTTCAAGGCTATACTGGGGCTCTGATTGAGGGTTGGTTTTACTCAACATGTTGCGTTATCAATCCTTTCTCAGCTTTTCAACCTAGCATGGGGTCTTCATGCACTTCTTGTTCATATAGATCTAAATAAAGCAAAATTTGAAATCTCAAGTCTAAAAAAATGATGTTAGAAATACACCATCTTCAGCACTCCACCTCAACAACGTAAAGCAAAGAGGATACAAAAGAATAAAGTAATTTTTAGTTGCTACCTCTGTTGTAATATTATAACACTGATGATCCCGTTTCTAAAATGTAATTTTAGGGTTACTTCCCTTTGAGTTAAAGTTTGCCTTCAACAGAATTCATCGTATGGTGTATCTCACCACCATTTCTGATACAGTGACTTGACTCCTTGGACATGCAGCTGCAATTGAGAGCAAACATTTTTTAATGAGTAAGTACATAAACAAATAAATAAATAAATACAAGAATAAATAAATTCATTCACGACTTAGTGAAGCAGATGAAATTCAGAGGAAGGAAAAAGAAAAAGTAAAAGTAATGACTGGCGGTAGTGGACCACGTTTGATGTCGTTTGTTATCAATACATGTATTAATAGAGATTTCCAAAAGCAGCTGCAGAGACGTTTTAGACTGTTTTTCCTGGTCCAAGCTTTCTCACGGCACGATGGCCATCGTTTTCAACGTAAATCACTAAAAGCACTGGCCTTATGTTGATGCGATTAATAAAATACAGTCTTCCGTCTTCCTGTTCTCTACTCTTTATCAGAAATGTCGTTATACGGAGTGCCCATTATTGATCCCTACCAAACCATTTTTTGATGCTTTCTCCCACGCACCATTTTTCCAGGGGTGGGGGGTGGGGGGGGGGGGGTGGGGGGGGGGTGGCAAAGCTGGAAATTAAGATCTACTTACAAGTATTGTGTATGATACAACGTTAACCTTGGAGCCAACAAATTATACCTCGTTCAGTTCAGTTTCCTTTTCTTGTTTCTGATAGCAATTTATTCACAATCCTATTGCTTCAAAACTGTTATTTACCTTACTTTTGTGATATGACAAAGGCAAGTATGAGAAAACTTCAGCTGACAGTATCCGTTAGTTTCCTAGTGTAAATCTATTTCCAAAAGGACATTTTCTATTCTGCCTCTGAGAAAACGAACCCTAGCCGCGTAGAAGACATCTGGGCAAAGACAAATAATTATTTCTGAAGCTGCAATTGAACCCCCGTCCTCTGCGTACCAGGTGACGTAACTAATCGTTACCCCTGGTACCGTATAGTAGTCTTTGCTGGAGTGCCGCTGTCCCGCAGTCATAGTGTCTTTGAGCTCGGTTTCTTTCTCTCTGACACTTGTATAGGCCTAAGTATTGATAGTAATCCCCCCCCCCCAAAAAAAAGCCCCACCAACAAACAAAACAAAACAAAACAAAATGAAACAAAAACAAAACAACAACAAGCAAACAAAAAAACCTACAAAAAACCCCCCAACATATTCAACCCTCAGAAACCCCAAACAAAAACAAAACAAAAGCCACTCCTTCCATCCCCCCCCCACCCCTGTCCCCCAAAACAAAACAAAACAATAACAAAAAATGAAAAATAAGATTGGATTACGTTAAATTAAGCTTTAGAACGTATTATGATACATTATAAGTAGCCCTACATGCATATTTATATAACAATTTGACGAAATTAATTTTTTTTAAAATTTCAGTAAGAGTTTTATGGCACTTACAACACAAATAGGTCATAGTACCGTCGATTACAGGTGTTACAAGAGAGCAGCAGACACACACAAAAAAAGAACGGAAAGAGATTACTAAAAAGATAAATGTTTGATAGTAAAAAAGAGCATACAACTCAAGAGTACCCTCCAACAAACCTCAACGCAATTTAGATGTTCAGGAGGCTGGCTGCTTAGACCCTGACTGCTTAAGAGCAACCCGACGTGAGTCTGACGCAAGATAGCAGCAGAAAACAGAAGACAAACTCGACAAAATAGATTTCTGCAATCGGGAGCTGCATCCTTGCATTTTGCATGAGACAGAGAAGAGCTTAACCTCTTCACCACATTCGTCCGTTATTGGTGCCGTAACAGGGCCTATAATACTATTATCTTATATATTAATTAGCTTTTAACAATCTATAAACAAACTGAAATATAAAACGAGGCATCACTTGATTC